AAACCTGCCGTGAATTCTCAATGTTTTATTAAAAAAATATTTATCCTACATTATAATACTTAATTTCATTTTAAAAAATTATCATTCAACGCAATGAATCAAAATAATCTCAATTCAACAAAACTAAATAAATATTATATTATATAGTATTTATTATATTATATTATAATATATATACATGGCTATATTATATTATTTATTACTAAAAACAAATATATTACTTATCTAGCCCAGTTTGGGGATGGAGATAATAATACCATTCTTGGCTAGTCCCCAATTGGGGATTTTTAAAATTAAGGATCCTCGTATCTACCTTGATTTTCCCACGAAATCTCCCCATTAATCTAGAGTTGGGGACCCAACCCGATGGGGATTTATGCCATTCCTAACGCTGTGGCACAACATGGGCTCAAGGAACAAAACCTTATCGTTTCGGTACATGTCGAGCCATCATGGCTCTTTCACCTTTTTGCTTTGGATAGGAGGGCATTTTATGAGATGTATTTTTTAGCTGGTTGTGATGCAGTGGTACTCTTTTTTCTTGACCAATTTCTTGTTAAACCAACACTACAAGGGGAAAAACATACACAGATAACTAACTAATGGTGTTAGATTGAAATCGCTTAGTTGTAGCATAAGTAGATCGATGTCCAAGCTCTTATGTATAGAGATGCTTGTGTAAATCTCGCCCTATAAAACTTTGGTTGTACTAGTTATGTTTTCTTTTTCCTTTTTTTTTTATCAAATAGAAACTTCATTAGATGAACTTCAAAGATGCAATCAAAGACATCAACAAGACATCTAAAATACCAATCACAAGAGGGCAACAAACTAACATGCTAAAAACAAAACTAACGCGGACAAAAGCCGCACTAAAACTAAGAGTCCACATCACCACAATTAACAAAGCTCACAAACCCAACATAACCAAAACCCTAAAACAACCCATGAGCCTAGACGAACCCTCCTACCACCACTTGAAGAAGCGCCGTCGCGGCCACACCCACCACTGTATCCGTAACAAATATGGAGAAAATATGATTTCCAACATACCTGCGTATAAGAGCGAACAAATAAAAGAAAACAACAACTTTGCCAAATAACAATTGGGTGATTTGCAGCAACCTCCATTAAAGACAATGTATAATCAAATTTAGAGAACATGAGCGGCGTTAGAGAGCGGGTTTTGGGAGCAAGATTTGATTGAGAACATAGACTAAAAGGGGTAATGGGGAACTTCCATCTAACCATGGCTTAGAAGAAACTATCACAATGGGCTTTTTTTCAAAACACCCCAGTGGACTTATTCACTAACCTAAAAGTATAAGACGAGAAGAGAGGAAGGGGATGATGGGCAGTGACGCTTCTTCCTCCTCCCCCATCTATGGAGTTTTTCTTTAAAACTCACAGAGGGAGAGAGCGGCTAAGGTTTCTTGGGATAATAGATTTTAATATACGTTTCTATTTCATGAGTTTCTGGTTGAGAATGGTTGTACTAGTTACTTTTTTGCTTAATAATATATTATCACTTTTCTGTTTTAAAAAAAAATAGCAAAGAAAATTTAATATTAAAAAAAAAGAAAAGAGTAATATAAATCATGATCCTAAATCAATTTCCCTTTCTAGACCCCTTTCAAAAAGAAATTAATTGGACTATTTGTGTAACCTATAGAGACCCTTGTGAGAGGGAGATAAAGACAGACGTGCAAATAAAACGTTGAGTTTCGAAAAGCTAATGCTTAGCCTCCATAAATAGTATCAACAATGTAGTATCTTCCTTCTAATGCTGGCTCTGACCCAACTTCCAAATGGGCATCATTTTCCCTAATCAAATTACATTTGGGTTTCACTTCCTTTTGGTGAAGCACGAGAGCCTCCAAGAATGGCAGACCAAGAAGCTGCCCCAAGGGCATAGGCTTCGGCATCATTACAACATTGGCCGCCGCCTCTGGTGAGTATGGCAATGACTTGGAAACCATTGGAACGGCACGGGAGATATCTGTTACCGGCAGTAGGCAATTGGCAAGCAGTGCATTTCCAGTTGCAGTGAAATAGTTGCCCCAGTAGTACTGTGGTGGAGGAATGCTGTCGACGGAATCAAGATCGATCTCGAAAAGATCGTCTTCGTCTTCCATGTCTGCTACACCTTTACACAGTCCTGCTGTTGCATGTTCTGCAGAAGCAGAACCTCCAAGGAGAGAAGCCATGGTGTGGTTTTTTTTAACTTTCATAGATATGATGTTCCACTTATATAAATAAATATATGTTAATATTTTGGTGTTTGGTGGTGAGGTTGGAGTTCAGGTGGTGAAGTTGGAGTTCAGGTGGTAAGTAGAACGCCCTTCAACAAATCTACAACGACAATAGAAAAATGTGGAGGTTGGTCATTGAAAGTCAAATCCCACGAATGGCTGATTTTCTTTTCTTACATAATTTTTCCATTCTAAACCCATTCTACAAAAGGAAAAGAAAAATACAGAGCAGATATTTTAAATTACCAAATCAAAATTAAAATTTAACTGATTAAAGACGGAATTGGATCAGCCCAAAAATCCTACATCACCATATACAATACAGTAATTGGAAGTTAGATTTTGGATGACCAGTTACTTAACAGAACAAAGGGTATCTTATGTTAAATCTAGCAAAGCTCAAAACCAATCTTGATAAGGAACTGTTGATTCAATATCTACCAAAACCACTAAAGTTTGCGCAGTAGACGACCTAACTACCTCAACATAACAGAAGATATTCCACAGTTTCTCTAATATATAAAAAATGGAGCAACATCAGTTAGAGATTCATAAGTCAAAATCAACCTATCCTGAAACAGAAGGACTCCAGCGTTGCCCAATTGGAGAAGCCAACAATACATAACTCTGCATTTAATCCTTTTAAGTTCAACAACCAAAAGCAATAACAAATAACTCTCAGAAGTTAACAATGCGACAAAACCAAATCCTTCGAGTTTGGATACAGATGCGTTATAATATGTAAAGTTCATATATACCGATGCCTTATTTACAGATATCTTCAGTAATTTCTCTCTTTTCTGCATCTTGAACATTTATATATTAAAGCTTCAAGTTTCTAAAGCTTTGGGTTTTACAACATTGTTTCCAACCATACAATGCTACACTTCCCGATATTTCTTTCTCAACTAACAATGGCATTGTCCCATTGGGTTCTATAACATGGTTGGTTTCATTGCAATGCTGCAGTATGCACCTCAAGTACCACATGGGTTGGGAAACAAAAGTTAGGGGAAAATGTTGGGCTATTAAGCATATTCCTTTACAAAAACCGAACCGTAAAGAAAGGCGAGGATCTTTCATTGCATGACTCAATCACTAAGCCAAAATCTACTGCAGTATTTAATAGAAGGCCCACTAAAACTTCCTAGATAGCACAGTTTAAAAGCATCATAAGGAAGAATTACCCTATAACCTACAGCTCTGTTAACCTAACAGCAAAGTTATTATCATTTGGGGCTTTCACTTTTGCACCTAACAAATAAGATGAGCCTTGGATGACTATATTTCTGACAAATAAGCCAGGCCATTCTTTTACCATTTGATGCAGGCAGGTTGTGTTCTAGCTTTGTGTGTCTAGTCTGTACACCATCACACTAGGAAGTTGATTCGCCTCAATCTCATGCTTGTGTTTTGTCATTGAGGCTTAGGCAAAATGTTGAACTACTAAAACAGAAACTCAGAGAGAACCCCAGATACAAACCTTTTTATTCCTTGTTTGTTTCCAAATATAGACAAGCAAATCCTAGGCTACAAGGAGGCTAGATGACAGAGCAACCGATATTGGACGTGAGCAAAATGAATCACCTAATTCATGAACTTATAACACAATTAATCAATACAACAACTAGAAAGCAACATAATTGGAAAGATAAGTGAACCCAAATCCATTTCAAATAACCATGAGGTAAAACATTTTTCGAAGTAAGTCAGGCCAAAAATTCAAATTCATTTCATCGTGATATCTCCATTTTCTACATTATCCCAACGTACATTCTGAATGCTTCCAATCACAACATCACATATATCTAAATCCACAGCTACAGAGATGTTCAAGACATTCACTATCAACCAACCACCAAAAATTTGCAGAGTGTAAATCAATTGTTTCACAACCAATGCCACTAAAATATCACAAGAAGCGAAAACAGAGTGTAAATCAAGAAACAAGCATACGCTATCAACCCACGATGCTCATCACCACCGTCAGCAAGCGCAACCATGAGCCCCGTGCACACCCTCGTGGCCCACAACACAAAGACGGCAGCCACGGCAATCCTGAAGCTCCCGCCTTGGGGGACGAAGAGCGAGGCGGCCGATAAGATCACCACGGGCAGCATACAATACCCAATCACGGACGTACACCTGTGCAGGTCGAGATTGCCGTTACGCCCAGCCAACATGTTGAAGACGATGTAGAGGAAGATGGAAGAGACGACGATCCATCCGAGGATGACGCCGAACTGGATTTTTCCCGCGAGGAGTTGGAAGAGGCAGAGAGACATGTAAAGGAGGATCGGGCCAGAGAGGTCCGAGTCCTTGTGGACCGCCGGGTTGGACCGGAACGGGTTGAGAATAGACTTGGTTTTTCTCCAGATTTGGTCAGGGTGGATGCCGAGCTCGTCGAGGAGGGGCTCCTCGTCCTCGAAGGAGGCGGAGCCGCCAGGGATGGAGGAGGAGCCGATCGGCCCTCCGAAGAGGGAGGAGGAGGAGGAGGCGGCGGCGGCCGATCCGATGTCGAAGGACATGAAGGGGATCGAGGAGGTGGAGGAGCGCGGGGGTTGAAACGGCGCCGTCGCGACGCGGCGTTGCTGGATGTTGTTGGATCCGACGGCGCTAGGGTTCCCGCCGGAGGGGAACACCACCGGAGGTACCGCGAACTCCTTCGTCATTTTGGGATCTGCAGATTTGGGGAGTTTGGGGGTGGGATTGATTAGGGTTTTGAGAATTGGGGGATAGAGAGAGAAAGGTAGGGACGAAGGAGTGGGAGTTTTGGACCGAGGTGAATAGATCGGTTATCACCCAGCAAAGCGGTTTGTATTTGGGAAGGGACAAAGGGTATATTTGACGTTTTCACTGTGCAGTTCGGTTTATTGGTGGTGAGCGTCATCGCGCGGCATTGGCCAGGTGACGTTTCTAGTGTTTGATATTACTTTATTGCCCTTCTACTATTTTGTCTGAAACTTTCTTGCTCTTTAAGTCTTGAGTTACTGGGAAAAGAGAGTCTCTCTCTCGAGGTAACTGAAATTACAAAAAAGGTAAATTACTTAAATGATCCTTAAATTTATGTTCGATTTACATTTTGGTTTCTAAATTAAATTATTCGTTCAAATGGTCCATCAACTTTATATTATTTGGTCCATTGGTCCCACCGTCTAATTTTCTGTTAGATTTAACTAAATTTTTGGGTAAATACGACTTTTCATAATTAACAAATAAAAATATGGCTAAAATAAATACAAAATTAGAAGAAAAAAAAATTTAAGAAAAAGAGAAAAAAAAATTCATGAGACCCAAACTCCCTCCCTTCGATTTCTTCTCCCCCATTCCCCACAAACCTCTCCACGCCGACCTTGTACCCAGTGCTCACCAACCTCCTAACGTGGACATTCAACCAGAAAGTGGGCACACTAGCAGTCAAGAAATTGTGATCCATATGGGCATAAATCCCCAAAACCCTTGCAGCAATTTCGGCATCTTGGCAGAAGAACCGGTACTTGTAATCGACTTCCACCATCAAAAGGACATCTGGGTACTTCTTCTTGAGGTCTACCACTTGCTGCTCCAAATGCGTGAACTTGGCAGGTGGGTTGGAAGAAGGAGAAGGTTTTGGAACGTCAGATAATGGTTCTATAAGCTTCTAAAGGAACTTTAGGTGGAAGAAGGGATTGGGTGCGATGGGTATAGGGTTGTGGGTGTGGGGAGAGATTTTGGGTAGTTTGGATGGTTTGGGAGATGAGGAGGTAAGGTGGGAGGAGAGGAGAGTGCGCTTGGAGGGTGAGAAATTGACAGTGGTTGTGATTTTGGGAGGTGGGGTTAGAGGGTGATGAGGTGGGGAGGAGGGTGGTGGGTGGTTGTCTCTCAACAACAAAGCGAAATCAAGGGGGAGGGGGAGAGGGTATGGGTAGTTGTTGAGTTGGGGTTTTGGGTTCGTTGGGAGGGGGTCTGTGGAAGATTTTTTTTCTTCTCTTTTTCTGTAGTTGCTGGCTCGGGTGGAGGGTGGGGAGGAGCTGGGGTTCTAGGTTCATGGGGCCTGGGATGGAGGGTGGTTGTGGGATGGGTTTAGGGGTTGGAGCTTGAGGGTGGTAGCCATGGAGAGAGAGAGAGAGAGAGAGAGAGAGAGAGAGAGTTTTATTTCATTTTTCAGTATTTATTTATTTTTTAATGTATAAATTGACCAATTTGCCCTCATATTTAACGGCAATATTGATAGAATGTAATGATAGGACCAATAGAGTGATTAATATATAGTTAATGGACCATTTGAAAGAATAATTTAATTGAGGGACCAAAATGTAAATTAAGTTTGAGAACCATTTGAGTAATTTACCCTTACAAAAAAAGTTCTAATTCTAAAATAATACACTCATTTGTCTTCAAACCTGTTATAAATCTATGGAATGTGGATGACCACCATAACATCCATTACCTCCACCCCTTATTGCTTTGTAACCTATGCCCTTATTATTGTAATTAGTAGCTATAAATTGTGGGTTAAATACCTCTATTGTAAGCCTATAAATAGGCGCTTATCAAAGATGAATAAGAGAAGTTGATACAAGTTCATAGAACAAATTCTCTGTATATCTCTTCCTCTTATTGCTCTCTACAATTCCCCCTAGTTTTATAACACGTTATCAACACGACATTGCTCTTGGTATGTTTTCTTTCTTTGAATTTTCTTTCTTCTTATATGAGCTAAAGTCATCACAAGGTATAGAGTTTCTTTGTACTCACCATCAGACTTCATCATGCTCATTTAAGAAAAAAAAATTCTTATTCTTATTACACATGAATATAATGCCATGTTTTTTTAATTTGTTTGTTTATTTAATTTTAAGTATGATCTTAATTATTATGATGAGTTTGTATTATACAAAAGATCAAGGCCTAAAGTTCCTCGATCCTCATCGTATAATTAGATTAGGACCTAGAGTCCTTTTGATTGAATTAGAACCTGAAGTTCTTTAATTCCAAATAATTGAAGGCGTGAAGTTCCGCAAATTTAAAGAGCACGTAAGGACATGAAACTCCTTGATTTTGTATTAATCAAAATCAGAATTCCATGAGGCATACATATGTCAAGAACCCGAACCAAAAATTCTGAGTGCATATACATCAATTTGAGTATGAAGTTCAAAGCACAACTATTAATTCAATTTATTTAGATCTACGTATTTGAACATGAAGTTTCAAATATATGTTGATATGAACCTGAAGTTCATAGTTTTTCATGGATCTTAATACTATATATGAACCTGAAGTTCATTACTTATATGTGCCTATATGAACCTGAATTGGTTAGAAATCCAATTCTTAAACTTGTAGTTTTATCTACATATTGAATCCACATTAATATTGGATTATCTTGGAATTTCATAGTCTTTAATTTATTTATTTTATTCCTTGTTTATACCACTTTACTCACTTTATTTTATTTTATTTATGTTAGGTTATTAGTTAATTTCGTTTTACAATTGGTAAATTTTTGTATTACTGCCCCAATATTGACAACCAGAGGTGTTTATTGAAGAAACTTCTTACTTTCTTTTGTAGGTGTTGAGGCCCAAAAAAGTCACGAGAAGCTATTGCGTAGATTCAGCTGCACCAAAATGGGTTCAACTGCATCCTCAACTTGTGATACTCGCAAGTGCACGAACCGTTGATAGTTTAGCGTATGTAAGTGCGAGGTCGATTCCACAGGGATTGGTGATTGAATGATCCAATTCAGTTTTCCTACACAAAACATAAATAAAAACAAAAGAAACAAAACAAGAAGAAAGAATGTACATTACAAGAAAAATAAATTACAACTACGAAAACATTAAGGAAATTAAGAGAACTTTGAGGAAGAGAAGAAAGTGTTGAGAACTTTGAGAGGGAGAAGAAAGTATTGAGAACTTGGAGGATTTTGGAAGAACATGTGTTTGAGAGCTTTGAGGATTTTGGAAAGGTTGAGACATGTGTTTGAGAGATTTGGAGACTTTTGGAAGAGAGGAGAGATGTGTTTGAGAAAGAGAAGGGAGGAGTGTTTGGGAACATTGAGAATTTGATGAAGGAATGGAAGAAGTGTTTGGAGAGTGTTTGAGAATATGTAGGCTTTTTGGAGAAGAAAGGAAAGTGGTGTTTGGGAACTTTGTGGATTTTGGAAACTTGGAAAATTTGAGAACGTAGAGACGGGAGGAGAAAGTGTTTGAGAAGTTTGCAGAATGTTTATGAACTTTGAGAATTTGAGAACTTAGGGAAGGGAGAGAAGGGTGTTTGAGAAGTTTAGAGAATTTGATGAAGGAATGGGAGAAGTGTTTGAGAACATGGGGAATTTGGAAGAGAATGAGAATTGTGTTTGGGAACTTTGTGGATTTTGGAAGAAAGAGTGTTTGGAAAATTGGAGAACTTTGAGAACTTTGGAAGGGAAGAGACATGTGTTTGAGGAATTGGAGAATGCTTGGAAGAGAATAGAGAAGTGTTTGGGAAGTGTTTGAAGATTTAGTAAAAGGAACATATTACAACAATTGAGAACTACAAAGGGAAACTAAGAGAATTTGAGGGAGAGAAGGGAAGGGAGCTCTAGAGAAGTGCTTGAGAGCTCCCCCCCTTGGGGTGTTATTACAAGCTTAGAGAACTTCCCTATTTATAGGCCTAGGGGAAGTGAAAATCAGAATTCAATAAGACTAATGCATACAACACTTGAATTATAAAATCTGAAATGGTTGATGCACTTGTATTAGAAAATCTGAAATGGGTGATGCACTTGTATTAGAAAATCTTGAATTGGTTGATGCACTTCACCACTAAATCCCACCAGCAGCCCTAGCTCATCTTCATGTCACCATGACCAAGCTTCCAACCAGAAATGATAGCTCATACCTAGCTCACCATGACCAAGCATCCAACCAGCACATGCTGAGGTCAACATGACCAGCAACTTCAAGGGCTTACAACTTGGGCTTCTCTTAATCAAATTAGGACTTTAAGCACTCAAAATTGAAGTTCAGAATGTCTTCTTTCCAGCAATAAGTTATTTGGGCCAATCCAAGGTCGGAGGAAGAAGTTAAGGACGAAACAAATTGCTAACTCATTTTCCGCGCTGATAAGATCCATCCTGAGCATCGTTCTGTGTTTGCTAGGTAACGGACTCTAGATTTATCCAATGGGGCTGAATTTTGGATATGTTATAGTACACACCAATTGGAACAACTTGCATGAAAAATGTGGCCTCATTCGAGCAATGTAGGTTGTTGAAACAAAGCTTGCAATATGACATACGGAACTGGACTGGCAGGGGGCTGTAGCCAAAATGACTTTGTCTTTTAAGCTCTTCATCCATTCATCCAAATTAGGCCCTAACATGCATGAATTGCATCATTTACTATCCAAAGCCCTCATTATTACCTAAAGCTCAATGAACTGAAAGATAAACACAAAAAGGATTAAAAACACAAGTTTAACTCAAAAACATAACCAAATCATAAGCTAGAAGGGTAAAAAATAATATACAATTATGAACCGATCACCAACCTCTCGCCATTCTTCCTTTTGTGATAATCACCAACTGCATCAGCAGGCCTTTCATGAGTCCTG